ATGAATGAATGAATGAATGAATGAATGAATGAATGAATGAATGAATGAATGAATGGAACAGAATCCATGCTGACCTTCTCCAGGAGGTCCTTCATATCCCATGAGCCCGTGCACCAGGAGTATAGTAGCAAGTATACGCCTGGTTCAGGGGTTCATGGGATACCACTGGCTCAAAGACAGTGATGTCATTCAGCCTGGCATTGTGTTTATCCATTGGTCAGAAAGACATCTGTAGGCGTGGCTTAGTCTCTGCAACCTATTCAATTGAGAGGTGTATTTTGCATCACCAGACTCTGGCAGTGAGTTCTGTAATGGACAAAGATATATATTTGGGGGGGGGGCACTCTTCCAACTCTGTTTCATGGCAAACTAGGTGAGAAAAAGGGGTTGATGGGGTTCAGTGTTCCATAATTGTGCCTGGATGGAGTTAGAGTTGAACCCTATGCAGAAAAGTCAGCCATCCAAAGACTAAGTCGACTTTCTGCCTAAATTTAGGCTACTGCGCCTCATATCTTGTAGAGGGATACATTTCAGCTTGATTTGCACTTCATTTTCTTATGCGATTATTCCTGTTAATCTTTGAGCCCTGGAAAATGATATATCCTCCTCTTGGTTATCATATGAGTGTGTTTTACAAAGGGTATATTGTCTTGCTAGTTTAGTAGGACATCCTGTTAACACTTCACATTGCTCCTTTGTCCTCTTTCTGTTTCCAACTCTGGGCCAAAGAAGCAAAAGAGAGCTACAACTGGTTAGCTGGACGTGTCTTCTGAATAAGTTGAATGCAAACAAAAAGTCAAATGTGCCAACACTTCATTTGTAATGCTGACGGGTTGCCTTGATAATCCAAAGCAAAGCTATGAAATTGTGCTCAAGAAATATTTGATATTTCCCCCATCCTGTTTACATGCTAATTAAATATGAGCTGTGACCCAAAATGATACATGCTATCATTTTTCAAAACATAAATGCAAGGATTTATATTTGGAAAGAGGTGGTTTAACAGCACAGACTGACTATCTTCAGTCCTGAGATAGTACCCTTCATGTAGTAGACCCATAAGTGTCAGTGCCATAAGGTTCATGCGCCTGGTCAGAGTTTTATTAATGTTGGATATTATGCTGTCACAGGAAATGGTGAGGAGCAAGTTGCGAAGCTGGAAAAGACAGAAAGGTTATTATCAGAAGACTGGACTGTTACTTTATGGCCTGGAAACTGTTAAGACTAGATTAACCAAAGTAGAAGTTTTGGAATCTAAGCTATCATTTATTTTTCTTTTCCAGAATAATGCTCCAATAACCACAATGGCCATTTCATCTAAAAAGGTACTGAGAGGAAGAACCATCATTAAGCAATTATAGTTTGGGGTTTATAACTATTTAAATGCATTTGGTACAAATACTTAAGTTGTACACCTTGGGTTGAATCTTGAACCAGGTTACTGAACTTAAATCAAGTTGCCAAGACATGTCAAGCCTAACTTGTCCCACCGATATAACTTTGTTTTAATCAACTCAGTCAGGGTCTGACTTATTTTATAAACACTTTCTTGTTATTTTTTCCAAGATATCATAGTCAAACAATCAACCTATGAGGTGGATTAGGGTGAAAAGTAGGAATGTGTTTTATGCCAAAGATAAGATCTTTACTGAGAAGGGTTTTGAAAGGGTGTCACTCATGTTTATCTCCCCACTTTGTGTGTGTGTGTGCGCTATGCGCCAGTGCATCCTCATATATATACTCATAGAGCAGTGAGCACAGTATATATACTTAATATGCTTTTCATTTCTGTGTGAACTTCAAGTCACACACCAAATTATCTGGAACTGAAATCAAGGGAGTTAGAACTCTCCGTGCATATTTTTATTGGAAGTATGCAGATATCAGGAGGTAGGCATAACCTAGCTGATTCTGGCTGATCCTGAAAAAGCTAAAAACCTAAACAGGGTCAGATTTGGATGGGAGACAGGACTAAGAAGCTTTTAAAAATCCAGAAGACAATGGCAAATCACTTCTGTATTATTTTCAAGAAAGTGCACAGTTATCAGAAGTCAAGGCTGACTTGAAGGAGACTTGATTTAACATGCAGATGGGGACTTCAGAAGTACAAAGTGCACCCTTCGTTTCTCATATAACATGCAGATTTTGCCATACAAGACATGAAAAAAATATTGTAAACGTGAAAGATGGCATCTAGCATAATAATGATGCTTCCTGGCAGGGTGGGCAGAGGACTGGTGGGGATAAAATACCAAGGGGAAAAAAAACAATATATCATATTCTCTAGAAGGACTTCAGCTTTTTTCCTGACAGATTTAACTATTACCCTCAATGTTTTGAAAGTTTTAAGATTCTTCTTAAATATATTCTAAAAGGGAAGTGTAATGCAATAATAACCAAAGAGCTCCCTGCGTTCATTTTGGCATTGGTGACCCAGCTCTTGGCTTTGTAATCCTTTGAAGAGAGCAGGAGAAGATAGATGTTGCATCCAGGCTAGACATCTTCCTTCAATTCCAGAACCTGAAAGAAACCTATCCATTTCCTTTTGAACAGCAACAGTTGTACGTGAGCTCTGATGAAGGCATCACCCAGGTTTCCTTACACCGTTGCCACATCTATGGAACAGCCTGTGCTGATTGCTGCCTGGCCAGAGACCCTTACTGTGCCTGGGATGGCAATGCCTGCTCCAGGTTCTACCCAACGGGCAAAAGGTGAATAAGGATAGGCCACCTGATAAGGTTTGCAGAGAGAAATGCAACTGTGGTTTTAACATTGTGTTCATTTAGTGGGGATGGAATAGGACCACACAGAAGACTTTCATTGCTTCTTAATTTTTGACAGGGTCAGGCTGTCCATCTAGATGTTTCCCAAATTAAGAAGACAGTGTTGCCCCTTTGAAGTTTGCCAGTGTAGAAATTTGTGTTGCTTCCTATAGACCAAGGATCCCACTGTCCTTTCTTTGAAAGTTTTCAACTAGAAAATTTCATTCAATAATAAGGAACAGAATAATTTACTGACAGCAGGATTCTTTCTCCTGGAAAATCTTATAACTGTTGTGATACTTCCATTTGAATGCACATCCCACTTTGATTCCATTCTCTATTTTTTTTTAATATTTAATGTTTTATTTTTAATATTGCCCCAGGAAGATGATTTATCCAGGAGAAGAGCTGTTGAGGTGGGTTTTCTTCCTTCCTATTTCTAACACTATAGCAGAACATATGATTGATGTGTAGAAATTCCCAAGTTCAGGATCAGTCCCAAAATGGAGAAGAAAAACCTGTTGCCTACAACTTTGGAAAATCAGTACCTTTCAGTCTAGTTGGAAGAACTTGATTTAAGGCAGTTTTCCCTATTCCTGTGATTTCCATAATGAAGATGGTAACACAGAAGTAGCTCAGATTATACTTTCTAATGGCCAACTCTGGGCTAAGAGACCATGCTGGTACTTCTTTGCAGCAAACAGCCTCTATATTTCCTCCTTACATATTGTGTATTGAAAGAATCCTATATACAAAGGACTTAGCCCTTTGTAACCTGACTGAATGAACTCCCAAAATCTAAGATGAGATCTTTTCCCCTGTCTTGTAGTTGACATCTCCCACCATCTGACATCAGACTTAGAACTTTCTGCCCTAGATATGCAAGTCCTCTTATTCAAAAAAGGTAGAAATGTAAAGAATCATTCCACCCATATAGGGTAACCACCTGGGGTTTTGCAGATATGGCCCCATTGTGGTTTTTCCAATCCTAAACAAACCAAAAACCATGCAGGGGGAAAGTGAATGTTTTCTATTTTAAGTGAAAGGTTATTTCAAGTTTAAAAGGTTTATATTTTAGGGCTTTCATGTGTTGCTAACAGGCTGCATCTTGGAGTATATTCTTTTCACTCAGCCCAGATTATTTCTTAACTGCTACCTGTTTTGAAATGAGCACAAAGATGGTTTATGCCCAAATCCCTAACTACTGAGATGACAGCATTAATTAAGAGTATATTCTCTTTTTTTGCCAATAGTTAGAAGGGGCTGTAAGACCACAACTAAGGTAAGGTTCAGCACACAGCAGCACTGTCTAGAGAGATGTTAGAACCAAGACAGAGTATCACAATATTTCCCTGTGTTACTATTGTTACTGTAATTCCCTGTTGTTCTGGGATGCCGTGCTGTTCTGAAATAAGACAGTTCCTCAAAACAAGGGATATTTGGCTGATGCAAGTTTCAGAATTTGCATCCAAATGCCAAAATGTGACCCGAACATTTAGAAATGTCTGTGAATGTCTCGGTATCTTCACTGTGCTCACAGAAGAGTACGTCATGCTCTTGCAGTAATATGTGTGCTTGTTCTGGTGGGAAAAAAGTAAATGGGTAAATAATGAAGTCTGGGTTTTACATTTTTAAGAAATAAGTTCCTTTATCTCTTAAAAAAGAGTTTATGATTGAGAAAAATATCACTAACAAGCCAAGTCTCAAAGTCTAGACAGTAGTAGTAACTCCTTTGTACTGACTGCATTTTGCTCTGTCTCTTTTTTGTGCCCTATGGATGCTTCAAAGCTTTGTTCCCAAAACATGACTAGAGATGTTTGATCATGGCCTTGCTGCCAGAACCCATCTATGTGCTTGCCAAATATTATTAATGTCGCAGTTATTTACCAAATTTCCAAGCTTTTTAAAAATGGGTATTTCCATTGTTCATAGCACTTCTGAAAGAAGTAAAACATAACCATTTGTTCTTCTGTGTCTGTGATCTCTTTCAACTGTAATAGTAAGGACTTAAAAGAAATTGCCGTAGATAAGTGCTTTAACACAGGGTCAAATTCTTTTTATTAATGTATAACAATACTAAAAGGAGAATAAAGGTTCCTTCTAAAAGAAGAAGCCAGTCAGAGATCACAATAGAAAATCAAGATGTACTTGCTAAAAATCCATTTTGGTCTTCCTCCCCCCTCCAAAAAAAACAACAACAACACTGGGAATGATAATTTTGAAAAAAATATTGGGAATTCCAACCAAGATCTGCAGTCTTAATCTATAATTCCAATGCTGAGTTTTCTAAAATTGAAATAGGCATCTGTTCCTAGCCAGATTGATGCCCAAATCTGATACATGGTTGTGATGTCACAATGCAAGCTCTACTCTTTTGTATCTGTGTGCCATGACATCACATTCAGGTATGTAAGGGTTGGAGTTGTATCACCATATACATTTCAGCATTTGCCCTCTCTACAGACACCTATAAACATTCCATTTTAAATGGTATGACTTTCTGGATATTCATCCCACCAAAAGGAATCACACTTTCATGTTAAAGACTTACATTCTTTAAAATAATGGAAAGAAATGGTTTCCAATTGCCATTTAACACAGTGCTACAATTTAACACAGTGTGCAGCATAATACAGTGGATTATTTCTTGACTTAATTATCTTTAGATAAACCCAGTGAAGTCAATGTGACTAAGGCACGTCTAACTCCTTTAATTTCATTCAATCTGCTCTAAATATGACTAAATAGACCTAGTGCTATATGTAAAATATCACAATAATGAAGCATGAATACCTTTCTGAGTTATATGAATCCAGTTCAGTTCAGTTCAGTTCAATCTTTATGTAATGTAGAGTTCTAAGTATTAGTCATAGGAATAAATTGATCACCTTGCTTGGAAGTTTGTTTGTTTTTTTTTTTAAAAAGTCACAAGTATTTAGTATTTTTAAATCCTAATAAACACTTGGCTATTTAAAGGAATTTTGCAGTTACATATCTTTCCTTTCCCTTAATGTCATAGGCGGAGTCGAAGGCAAGATGTGAGACATGGAAACCCAATGACTCAGTGCCGAGGATTTAACCTAAAAGGTACTTTGAACTGAAAGATGGCTGGGTTATAAAAAGAGATGGTCATTCTTCTAAGTGAATCATACTGGCCATTTAATGTACTAGTAAAAATAGTATAGTACCCGTAAATGTGTAATATTTTTTTCCTTTCCTTTGTGTGCTGTGTTTTTGAGGAGGTATTTAAATTAATGGACAATGAGTGGTTTGTTCCAAAAACAGCTCTACCTACAATACTGGTCAACATGACACCACGAGTGAAGATATCTCCCTGACGTTTTGGAGTACGTCTACTTTAGTTTCCTGACTTCAATGCGTTGTGCATCAGGTCAATGGGTTTCCTGAATCATCATCAGCCATACAGTCCCAAATAAAGAGAACTTCAATGGGGACTTCAAGCAAGCTAGGTCGTTTTGCAGATACCTAAGTGGGCCCTAATTCAGTTTTCATGTCCTATTTCTTACACTGAAGGGGGGCTGACACATCTGAAGCTTTTCCAAAACAGAAGGTAGTTTTTGAAAACCAAAGCTATAAAGCAAGCTGAACATAGCAAAAACAAACAAAAAACCCCACACCCATATACAACAAATAAAAAGTTACTCAGTTTTTCTTTTTTTTCTTTCTTTCTTTTTTTTTTTAAGGCTTAGAACTTCTTTCTTCCCTCTTCCCTTAACTTGGAAACAGTAATAGCTATAAAGCAAGCTGAACATAGCAAAAACAAACAAAAACCCCCACACCCATATACAACAAATAAAAAGTTACTCAGTTTTTCTTTTTTTTCTTTCTTTCTTTTTTTTTTTAAGGCTTAGAACTTCTTTCTTCCCTCTTCCCTTAACTTGGAAACAGTAATTTGTCTCGGATTCCAAAACTTAAGGTTATATAAGGCTATTACATTTTGACTATAATGAGCAGCATTTCTAAAAATAGATGGACAGAGCCTACTAGGTTTCCACAAACATCCTTTCTCACAGACAACATAAATTGCTAAATTGTTTTTGGTTTCCAGAATACGTTTTTATGAAGGGAAAATCAATTTATGAATGTTTGACTGGCCATACTCAGGGTAAAATTTCATCTCTGCTCCTGAAACTTCAGACTGTTTTGAAGTTATTTCCATCTTTTTTTTTTTTAAAAAAAGCAACATTATCATTTCAATTTGTCTTCCTTTAAGTATTTTCAACTAATCATGGGATGGTGAGTTGAGTGAAAAGTCTCTCAGCCAATCACAAATGAACATAGATCATTGTCTTTGCATTGCCCTTGACTGTTTTTGGTGGTGTCAGGCCCATCCTCATGCCTTATGCCAGTATTTCTCCTTTTGTACCCTAGAACAGGGTTCCTCAACCTCAGCAACTTTAAGATGGGTGAACTTCAACTCCCAGAATTCTGGGAGTTCAAATCCACCCATCTTAAAGTTGCTGAGGTTGAGGAGCCCTGCCCTAGAAGATTCTCTGCATATGCAATTGTTAATGCGTTTTCTTCTTTTCAAAGCCACCACCTACAAAATAATTAAATATGGATAGATTTCTTTTTCCTGCTGCATCTGAAGATTTTGCAAAAACTGCCTCTTTAAAAAAAAAACACTATGGGATATCTGTGGCCAGTCATTGTTTCTCTCAGACACAGCCTATCTCATAGAGCTATTCTCATGAAGATAAAATAAAGATTAATCCCCATGTCAGCTGCCTTGAGCTCCTGGAAAAAAGACAGGATGACAATAGCAAACTGAGTATAAGCAATGCCATGACAGTGTTGTAAAAATCAGGTGTTGGAATTTATATTCAAAAAATGGTTTTCTTGTTAATTAGAAACTTGAAAAACCACACCCTGAAAGATCCCGCACCTGGAAAAGTCTTAGAAAATGAAGAGGTCAAGATCTTGTTGGACTTGAAAATACACATTGACAGACACCTGAAACACAACACACCAAACATTACTATTATTGCAAAAAAAGAAAGAAAGAGATGTGGGAATAGTCTAATTGGTATAAAACAAATGGAAAACTAATAATATTGGAACTGAAAGACTTTGGAGTTAAAAAGTGAACTATAATACCAATAGTAATTGGAGGTCTTGAAGCCATATCAAAAGGATTCACCAAATTTTTGGAAGTTTTAAATTTACTAGACTTGGCATCACTGACTTCATACAACACTATCTTTCTTGGAACTTCCTACATACTACAATGGTACTCCCATGATTCCTAAGCATTTGGATAGAACCCTAATAATCAGAAAAGACCCAGATTGTGGTACTTGTTGAATGAATTTGTTGAATGAATTTGTCGGATTCATGATGATGAATGATGATGATGATGATGATGATGATGATGATGATGATGATGATTGCTATTTATACCCAGTCTCCCAGATAGTTCTGAGTGGATCTAGGATAGTTAAAGATGCCATCATAGAAGGTACCCTGTTCCAAGTAATGCAACTTTTTGTAACTGATGAGTTTAAATTCTTTCCATTTCTATTATGGCAAGTGCTATTCCAATATTTTAGTGTGGCATCTAGTGTACCAAACATTATTGGCACAACTATGACTATCATGATGTTGAGGATTATGATTTACATTTTAGGTTACCGAAATGCAGCTGAGGTCATTCAGTATGGAGTCAAGAATAACACCACTTTCCTTGAGTGCACACCTAAATCTCCACAAGCTTCTATTAAATGGCTTTTGCAAAAGGACAATGACAGAAGGAAAGAGGTAAGTGACCTTACTGAAAGGAACTGAAGGATCAAAGGAGAAACAATGTGTGTTAACTAGAGCCCAATCACCAGGGCTGGGTCTACTGATCATAGAGCCACTGGGTTGTTGTTGTTTTTTTTCAAGTTACACAAAATAACAGAGTATTCCTTAACTCATCAAGAAGGCTCATAATCAAGATAGCAAAATCTTTTAGCTGCTTCAGTGTGTATGAGTGAACTAAGAACAAAATCTGATAGAGTGGAGGATCAGTTATAATCCACCAGTTTGTTTATGGACAAGGCCGTGGTGATGCCAAAAGGATAAAACATTAATTGTAACTCACAACATAAACTTTGCTTGGCAAAGTGTGCACATCACAATGTGCATTTATCACTTCCTCTCTGTGGATTCCCATTGTCAGTGCCCAGCAAAGCTCATTCTATGCTGTAGTGTGAATCAGTCCTGCTTGGTACATCAATCATGCTGGTTTTGAGCAGTAATTTTCAGGGTCAGATTTTCTACATTTTCTAGGATAGTTCAGGTCATACTCACAATACTTCTTAATTAATTTAAGTTAATTTAGGTCATTCTCTTAATTCCTCAGGATTTATTGTCAGCTTGTTTAATAAATCTGTCACAGCTGGCTGGTTTAATCAATTTAATTTAAAATCAAAATTAAAATGGATTGATAATGTGCCATCAAGTCGGTGTCGACTCTTAGCAACCATATAGATGGATTTTCTCCATGATGATCTGTCCCTAACCTGGTCATTCAAATAAATCTGAGGCCAATGATTATATCTTTCATTTATTTCACTTATATATCGGTAAGATGGGCAGGATCCAGTAGATATTCCGTGATAATAAAAACAGCCTAATCCAGCCAAAGATAAGCCCCAGTGATTTTGAATAGGAGAGACTTCAGAATAGGCTAACTTTGGCTGGATCTCATATTCTGGCAGCAGACAGCCAGTTTGGTGGAGTGGTGAAGGTACCAGGCTAGAAACCAGCAGACCGTGACTTCTAGTCCTGCCTTAGGCATGAAGCCAGCTGGGTGGCCTTGGGCCAGTCCCTCTCTCTCAGCACCAGTAAGAAGACAAGGACAAGCAACTTCTGAAAACGTTACCAAGAAAACTGCAAGGACTTATCCAAGCAGTCGCCAGGAGTCAAAATTGACTCAAAGGTGTGTGCATGCACATACATAAAGAACAAGCTAAGTCAGAGGAACAGGAGAGAAGGTGATATGGAAAGTTTTTTTTTTTTTTTTTTGTAGGAAGGAATTAATCTGAACTAAAAATACTCCCAGCAGCAAAATTTGTCCCGACTATAGTGTAATCACATTTTCCATTACTGTCTTATCCCAGACTCTCAAATTTCAGCTCTCGAATGTATGGTGTAATTGTTTACAGGGAGCTAGTCTTCTTTTAGTGAAATAAAATGGAACATTGTTTTTATTTACAAACTGTTACTCTGTGGGGGGGGGGAATCCTTTTATACTACTGATTATCAGCATTTGCATCTGAATAATAAAGAGCACATTCAGCCCACACATGTTGAAAGAAAAATTAAGTAAGCTACTTTAGTTAATTAAAAGTCCTTTTCCCCATTAAAGAGTATAGGTTAGATTAATAATTCATGTTAGCAATTGAATGTCAAATTAAATACTTCCTCACATTGTATAGTAGAAGGGCCATCTGATCATGAACACAAAAAAACCCAGTGTTTTCCAGAATACAATGGTTGATGAATGAAGAAAGCAAATGATCTATTAATAAGATTAAAACATTTTTTTCACAAGTTTCTTAAACTTTGAAATACCTTTTTAACTGTCCCTAGGTCAAACTCAATGAAAGAATCCTAGCAACTCAACAAGGGCTTTTAATTCGCTCAGTGCAGGAAGCTGACCGTGGACTTTACCACTGTATTGCAACAGAAAATGGCTTCAAGCAAACGATAGCCAAGGTTAACTTCAAGGTTTTGGATTCAGATACCGTGGCCTTCATGACTGAAAAGTGGTCTCCGTGGACCTGGGCCAGTTCACTCCACGCTTTGCAGTTTCACCCAAAGGACCTGGCTGGATCCTTCAGTCACTCAGAACTGCAGATGATTAATCAATATTGCAAAGACACACGGCAACTTGGGCAGCAGGCTGAAGATCCCCCAAAGATGAGAGGGGACTATGGCAAACTAAAGGCCCTTCTCAACAGCCGGAAAAGCAGAAACCGCAGAAATCAGTTGCCTGGGTCTTAAGGGCTGCCCTCGGACGTCAAACTTCTTCTTTGTCACCACTGTCATCTTGTAACCTCGCTCAAGGGATTCCTTTTTATTTGGTGGTTTTGTTTCCCTGCTGAGAGTAGAGCGAAACAGTAATAAAGCACACTCTGTAAAAGTTCAGGACACATAAACCGTGTAAGCTAGAAACAGAATAACGAAGACCAATTCCAAAGAGATTTCAGTTGGGAAGCAACCTATTGACTCCACCTTGCTTTCACTCTCTAAGTCTGATGATGAGCCTTAACAGAGAGTATTGTGCCATGTTTCAATGTCAGCTTTGTTTTCTTAATACGGAAAACAGATGACGATGCACTGAATGTTCAGCTTGGAATAATGCAAGGTGGGAAGAAAGAGTGGTGAGGACGGAAAGTGAGTTGGAGTGGTCTTTATAGGCAGCTCTTCCACCTACATATATAATTCTGTGTGCATCTCTGTGTGATTCTCTCTGTTTACGGTACGTTACATTGGAAAACTAGCCCTTGTGGATACAAGAAAAGTCAATTTCCCATATTAATGCCACAAACTATTCAGCTTTCATTGTGTATTTCTAGAAAATGCAACCTAAAAGCAGACACATAGATACCTCCATAACTACTAGACCCAGAGGATCAAATGAAGGAGAAGAGTAGCATGAACAGAAATGCTTGCTGAAAGTTACAATAATTTATTTTATTACACATCTCACATGTAGTGCAATAGTACACACAGTGTACATAATACACATAGTTAATTATGTGTAGATAGATTTACATCAGTAATTTGATCTAGTTAGGAATGTGAAAATGTTTTAAACTGAACCTGAAAAAGGTTAATGAAATACCCACCTGCAACCCTCAGAGGTTTACAGCATAGCCTCCATAATGATGGGCAAGCTATCAATATAGATATCAATATATAAATGCATATGCACACACATACAGATGGCTATTGTATGTATTCATTGCATTGTCCAATATCTTGTGTAGAGATATAAGCTGTTCATGATATGTGTTCATAAAGTGTGAAGGCAACATAGACTTGTACCAAGGCCACCCTTAGTGGCACCAAAAATTAAGTCTTCTCCATTAGCTTCATTCCAACTTTCTTGCACTGAGAAGGTGGGTCAGAAAGGACACTCTTCATACATTCGTCTGAATATCTTTAGAATCGTTTGCATGATCAGGAATGTTGGGTTTCCAGTCATGGAAGATCCTAAGCAAAGTATCCAGTTTTCATGTTCCATGAGGGATGGTCAAGAGTGAAGTCCAAGGGGAAGAACTCACAGAAGTGCAGTTGGCACCTGTGCCACCAGTTCCCTCCAATTTGTGGTCCAGTGTTGATAGTGGGTTAATGATGAAAAATCTATACTTCAGCGCTATCCTTTTCTCATTTATTCTCATGTTAAATTTAATTAAATTCAGCATCAGCTTGTGACTTTTTTAAAGGCCACTCAACAATATGGCTTTCTTTACTAATACATGTCTTTGGTATGCAGCTTTACCTAATATGTGCACACATTCCTTATTTATATATTTTTGACTTTTTAACAGGAGAATTGCATTGCAAAACTCAAAGAAGTACAAATAATGATGGCAACTGCATAAGGCAGAATATTCATTTGAGAAATGTAAGTCAAGTAGGAATGTACAAAAGTGTGAGCCAAGCAAATTGATTCCTTGTCCCTAGTTTGGTCTGAAAGTTTCAGAATCAACTGGTTTTCCCCTGAGGCTTGCTTAAGAAGCAGCTATGCCAAACAACCTCTAATATCCCTTTGATCTTGTGTGAATCATGCCCTCTTCTAAGGGCATTTCATGCAAACTGAGAGGTAGTTAGCCAATCTGTTGTTGTTGACCCCCACCCTGGGTCAGTGTATTCTTTCTCCATGACATTTCTCAAACAGATGTTGAGCTTCCCACACAAATAACTCCCAGTTCTCATATATACTGTATAACAAATTTTGTAAATTAAATAACAAGCGTACCTAAAGACGAATGCTTTAATGCCCTTTTTAAAACACTTCACCAAATTTCTCTTAATATCACAGTTTTCAACTTCCACAAGGGTAAAATAAGCCTGTGTAAGCATAACTCCACTTTGCCTCCATTTTTCATCTTCCTTGCAATAACTTCAGTCTATGAGAGGTTTTGTTTCCTCTTTTCTAACCCTTCCAGTGATCATAAAGAAATGAATAAAGCTGCCAACCTCTAGTCTGTTCTCTGTCGCACTTCTCACTGACACTTAATGAAGTGTCTAGTCTTAGACGGGATCCCCACAAGTTCTTGGGGACAACACTCAAAACTAAGCGCACTGTAGAAATGTTCCTGAAAGCAAAATCAATATGGAGAGTGAGTTACATCATAGCATGATGCCATTTAATTGCAGGGCACAGCAGTAACGCTCTTCAAAGATACTCTTAGTAAACCTTTTTCACGCATTTCATTCAAAAGAGGAAGATTGATCTCCAAGTTGAATGCCCATTGTGTATGGGGTGTAATGGCCCACATGGAAGTAATTGCTCTCAAGCTTTTCTTGGCTGATCTTAGAATTGAAAGTCATACAAGCAGTGATTTAAAGATACTGATTTCTGATAAGTAAGTTTATTGCAAAATCTAGGGAAGCTGTTTGGGAGAAATTCCAACAACTGCAAGCTCTACCAAAACTGATCTCAAGATTAATTTCTGGTGGCCTCTTCCTCTGGATGGTTAAACAAGCTTGACACATTCTGCTTTTGGTCAAGAGGAAGAGCTTACCACCTGTCCCTTGTTACTGCAATACATTAGTCTGGTTTCAAGCTGTTTCTTTCTGATCTTGCCAGGACTAGCTCTCACAGCTACTTAATAGAAAATTGCTTTCAGTATAGCATACATTCAATCCACCATGAGAACACAAGAAGCCAATAATTAGGTATACTGGGATAGGGAGGAAAAGTATTGTGTTTAGCCCTTGTAATGACATTAGAACAGCCTTCCCCAGATGTGCTGGTTTCAACTCCTATAATTCCCCAACATTCATCATGATGCAAGAACCAAAATCCTAACACATCTAGTGGCTACATTTGAGTAATCACAAGTCACCACTGCCAGTGGAGTGCTACAGAATATTTTTCAAAATGCTGCATATCTGGTATTATGAGGCCACCATTAAAAAACCAGAATACTAATGTAACCTTCACAGAATAAAGCTACCTCCTGTATTCTTATTTGGGCTTCCCATATAGGTTATTTCTGAACATTGCAATTTCCAATTGGCATATCTATCATCTATCTATATCTATCTATCTATCTATCTATCTATCTATCATCTCTCTATCTCAGAGTGCAATTAATACAGTATTAATAACAGCGATAAAAGTTGATTTTAGGATGAAGCACTACAGTTGATAAGAATTCCAGGCCACCGTTCCTTAAACAGCCAACTTTGATTACAGCTAAATTGACACTCATTAGATGTGAGAAATTATGATCATTAACATGCTGTATAAAAAATGCGATACTGGTCATATTTGCCAATTAGGTGACCAAATCAGTAGAGTTTTAAGTTTCAAAACTGTATTTTTTAAAAAATCTGTTTTATATAGTGATATGACTGTTTAAGGAATTAAGCTTAAACTTCTTTTGTCTCTGTAGCATGAACAGTTAAATATCTCCGTAACAATCTTTTGTTAATTTGTAGCAAATCATTAGCATGTATGAAATTCAGGGGTTCATCTAGGCATAGTCTTGATAGAGCAATGTAAATATATACTCCTGGTGATATGTCCAAAGCTTTAATTAAATAATCTTATATCGCCCTGAGCAGAAAAACAGAACTAAACTGAGGTCTATTTCAAGCACTAATGCAAATACTTTTTCCTATCACATTTAGTGCATAATTTACTGTGTACAGTGGGCCCAAGCCTAGTAATGTGCCTGTCCTTTTTTTTGGGGGGGGGGGACTGCACACATGGGGTTGTTTGATGTACAATCCTGATGTCACCATTACACTTCTAAGCATGGAGAGATGCAAGCATCTCTTAGCTTTCTAATGTTTATATCATACACATACATGCTTGATACCATTTATAATCTCTAAAAATCCATTCATTTCTGACAAATGATTAAAAGCATTAAAAGAGCCCTACCAATTAAGACCAAAGGTGCTATTGTGAAGCCATTGTGCGTAATAGCCATGCCACCTCTGAGCCTGGAAATAGTACATAGCAATCATGACTAATAACTATCAACAGCCTTATGATTCATGAATTTGCCTAATATGGATATGTAGTATTTTGGATTACATCTGCAAAAAGTACTTCGGAGCACAGGGTGGGGAACTTAACACCTGTCTGCAGTTCTTTAAATAACCGTTTCATTCTTTGAAACTGCATGCTGTTGTCTAGACTCTAATTTTGAGGGTTTCTGCGTCATGGCAAACTGAGATTATGACTGGTTGAGTTATTTTTTGTCTTACCCTCATTCTTCTTCTGGTTTCCTTCTCTTTTCCACTTCTTTCCTATTTTTCCTATCCTTTCCTTTCTCTTTGCTTTCCTTCCTCTAAAGGATGGACTTGGCTCAGCCCCAGCCTTGAGCCTCCTAAAAATTTATACTCACAGTTGAGAAAAAAATCACTATAGTTAGACTCTGACCACTTCCTCAGTCAAACCATAAGGGAAAGAAATGTACTGAGGGTAGGCATTAGTTTTTTAGACCCTTTAAAACAAAAAATGCTGGAATTGGGAATTTTTAAAAAAATGCTAGAATTCTGGAACTGGGAATGGATCAGACTGATTGATACAAGGTGGATTCGACTAGTACTTCGTGAACTTGGATCCAGCCTGAGTTCACTGGGCAATCCTTATATAGCCCTTATACATGACAGTTCCATCAACCCAACCTTCTAAACGCAGTGTTCTCCATAGATATTGCCCTTCAATTCCATTAATTCCAACCAGCAGGCTCTCCAACTAGAATGATGGTCAACATCTGGAGAACATCATTTTGTAGAAACCTGACACAGAGTTTTGTTAAAATTCTGCCCATTTATCTTGATAACACAAACATTTATGTTTATAATATTGGTTGTTTGGTTTGTTTTTATTTAATATCTTCCTATTTTGAGGATACTGAATAATGTATATAATTCTTTTTTAAAAAAATTGAAGAAACATCTTCTAGACCTGAATTTGCCAAATGTAAAGATGCTCGATACTATTTTTTTTTTTGTTTTGTGACTGCTTTTGTCATTTGTAAAGTTGGATGAAATTTTCTTCAACAATGCATTCTTTGTGATTGTCGGTACTGTAGATACATGTATTTCATCTTTTAAAAATCCCTTCTCTTATGCCAGATATGAATGTGTATAGTTTTAGCATGATGAAGCCCATGAAGGTGAATATGTGGTAGATTTTGAATTAAAAATAATAATAAAAAAAATAATACAGTACTATTTAATTGGATACCCCAACTATTATTTGCCTGAAAAATAAAGGGTGTTGGAGCTATTTTCAGTTTTTGGTTAGTTTGTTGTTGTATGAAATGTCTGCTACATTCGATCTGTATTTGTCAACTGGTAGCATACTTAACATCAAGGTTAAAAGGTTTATATGCAGAGAAAATGTTCAAAGATGCTAGAGCCAAAGCTGGACTTTCACAGGTTATAAAAATATTAAAGAATAGGAGACATCTCAGTTTTCCATATGAATATACACAACATAAAACAGAATGTTTTAAAAACCTAGATAAAAACTCAGTGAATAAAAGTGGTGATGTGACTTTTGGTATAATATACATAGCCAGGTATGTATATACACAAAAGCTAGGGCTTTATGAAATCTCTGTAGCTTTCAGAGCATTTATGAAGCCAAACCCTGAATTAAATGGCACATATATTTCAGTTTAGAGCAATATAGCACATTCTTCCCAAATTGCTAATCTCTGTGCTACCCATAAACATTGTCTGTGCTGGCTAAAGTTGATAGAAGTAGTGATGGTGGGGAAAATAATTTCCTTAACTTTTCAATGCAAAATTTCCCAATTTTCCATTTTTGAATGAAATACAATCTCAAACATTGCAAAGAATATTTGTGAAGGAATGTTTGCACAAAGTGCATATATTCAGAAAATAAATGGGTAAAAAGGCATTATCTTTGGGAAATTATCTGTAAAGCCTTAGCATGCTAGATAAGACAGGAGGCAACAAGGTGCAGAGGGGTCATCAGGGCATTTTACAGGCTCTCCAATCCCATCTAGTTGCTCCATTATCAGAAAGAGGGTTTAAGTTTGAGTAACTTCATTTGGACAACACAGAATATTCTAAAGTTGTGGTGGAGTATTAATCCAAAGATTTGTGCCAGCATAACTTACCCTTACAAAATGGACTTTTCTGTCAGTACAAAACATAACATTGATACAGGATACAATCAGAAGGGGAGGGAAGGAGTCAAATCCATTTTGTCTCTGACTATGAGAACCTTGAAAAGATTCTGTGTGAGATATTGTACAATTCTGGGTGCAGTTTCAGTTCTGGTCACCACCTAAAAAGCTCTACATGGCACCAGACCAGATGATTTGTGGGACCACCTATCCCTAAAGACTTCTGCCATCCCATTCACTGTAATAAGGTGGGCATGCCTTAAGTGCCCTCCTTGAAAGTGTGCCACCTGATGGAACACAGACCACATGCTGTTTCACTAGCGGTTCCTACCCTTTGTAATGATTACACACACGATATTTGGTTGGCTCCAACCCTGCTGTCCTTTAGAAAGGCCTTAAAAACATAGCTATTTCCCTAAGTGATGGGGCCAGGATGAGTAAGTTCTCATCCAGAGAGAGTATGAATGTGAGCCAGATAGTCTATTATTGAGTGTGGTTTAATATGGTGGTTTCTTGCCAAAAATCACTTTCTTTGAGTTGGGCAGCCATACAGAAGTCCATGTACTTCTTGCTGTAAGGGGCTTGACGTGCATGGGACAAAACTGAGAACTAGTTTGGTGTGGTAGTAAAGGTATTAGACTAGATTGGGGAGACCCTGAGCCACAGAAGCCTGGTCATTCTAAAGCCCATCTCTCTTTTTCTCTCCCTCTATTTCTCAGGCCAGCCTACCCCAAGGATTGTTGTGGGGCCTAGAATGAAGAGAGATCTTCCATATAAATAATGTTGCGTTCCTAAAGGAAAAGTGGCATATAAATCTAACAAATGAAAAATAGCTAATAAAGCTCCAAATCTTGTATTATTCCAGGGTTGAGGAAGCCAAAAATTAAGTGGATCAGGGATTGAGGTAGGTGGATGGGTGGGGAAGGCTATATACCCTATAACCCTCTCATTATTGCCAGGGATTTAACTCAGAAACTAAACAGCCCCTAGTTATCTCCCATCAATGTCAGAAGGAAAAACCACAGGAATTACCTACTCTGGCTACCACAAGCTGTCATAGTTAAATGAGTGGCAAGCACTATGTAACAAATTCTCCTTTCCCCTCTTTCTGACTTACTCCAAAACCATTCATTGCATTAAAAGAAAACCTACATATACCTTAGAGTGCAATAATTTTGTAACGGTATGTGGGAATGACCCTGAGAGACAGAAAGGAGAGCCACAGATTGGACAACTGGCAGGTAAAAGGTATCTCAGCCCACAGAAGGAGAAAGGATGTAGGGAACATTTCAGAAGGGACCCTCCCTAGTTTTCCAGAGACTAAAAAGAGAGGAGAAATACATTCAGTCTTGCAAGATTCTGTTAATGTAACCTTATAATAAAGATAGAGCTAGTACTCCTGGTTGTGCTTCTTGTGTGGACTACCTTGCAGGGCTACAAGGTTAGAGGTAGTTCTAGTGAATAAAAAATGTATAGCCAGCTACTATAACTCAATGAAAGTGTGTGTGTAACAATTCCTTAGTATCTGGTTCAGGATGTTCTAAAATGTTCTGAAACGAAAATTAAGAGAATGCCTATACCACTGTTCCATTCAGATTATCCCTGTTTTAAATAAAACAGGTGATGTCTCCAGCCACCATAAATTAGGAATGTGTTTTATACCCAGAGGTATTTGGGAGATCTGGCTGTGTTTAGATATGAATGAATCAGCCAAAGCTTGATCTGTGTTTTACAGGTATTAGTCCATCAAATGCAGATTAAGTCAGTTCACTTTACAAATGCAGACCAATTTTTTTCTGCGTTCCTAGAACTAACAAGAACCAAATCAAAGTCCCCCCAACCCCTCTTCTCTGTAGACTTAATGGAAATCATATATATATACATACATATAT